AAAAAAAAAAAAAAAAAATTTAAATCCTCTCACAAATCGCTGGTGAACTGATTCCTCCAAGGGAAATGACGAGCTTCTCACCTTTGAACCCAGGTAGGGGCAAAGGCTAGCCAGAAGACCCATTCTTAGCTGCAGCACTCAGCGAAAACTTATCTGAGTACCTGCTAGGAGTCCAGCTCTGTTTCATTCTAGGACGGAAGCCGATCAGTCACAAAACTCAGGTGCATAAAAAACTGGGAAACCCAAGGGCTGAGCGTGGTAGCTCACGCCTGCAATCCTAGTACTCTGGGAGGCTGAGACAGGTGGATTGCCTGAGTGAGAGCGAGACCCTGTCTCTAAAAATAGCTGGGCTTTGTGGCAGGCGCCTGTAGTCCCAGCTACTTGGGAGGCTGAGACAAGAGAATCGCTTGGGCAGGGGTTTGAGGTTGCTGTGAGCTGTGAGGCCACAACACGCTACTGAGGGCAAGTGAGACTCTGTCTCACAAAACCCCCCCAAACAACCCCCTCCCCCCCCAAAATGGGAAGCCTGGAACTTGTCAGAAGTGCTGGGTAAAAAAGTACAAGTGTTAGGAGGGATTTGAGGTAGGCAGGGAGATGAGGGGAGGAAGGTTCCTCACCCAAGGGTTTTTGCCCGGCTCAGGTTGGAGTCCTCCTCCAGCCCCCAGTCCCAGGCCCCTTCTTGGCTTGCAGGTTTCAACAGCTCTTTGGAGGAGGAGCCCTTCCACGAGTGGGAGACCTGGGAGTCTTCTCCTCGCCTCCCCATGGGTTAGCCAATGCTAACCTTTTCTCTCCCTGGGAGAAAAGACCCAGCTCCGGGACGTTTAGAGACAAGGACTGTGTGTTTTGTTACCCCGAGACACGGCTAGGTCACTCAGGGAAACGAACACAATCCTGAGGCTGTCATTGTAAAAACAGCAAACGGCCAAGAAATTGCTGGAGGAAAAAGAAAGGCTTAAGAAGTTTAAATGAAAGAAAAAGCCCTGAAAGGCCAGCCCACAAGTCCTAAGGGAGGCTGGGTCTGCGAGGAATCACTTTTCCTTCCCTCACAGCGCCCTCTTGACCCTTTGGGACCCGACAGGCTTGGAAGGGTGCAGTCTCTTTGAACAAAATCAAGCCAAGAGAGCCCTATAGTTCTTTCCCAGTAACTGATGCAGAAGCGGGAAAACTTGAATTCTGTAAGCAAGAGTTGCAGCTGGACGTCTAAACAACACAAAAGGATGGCGGAGGGGCGCTGTCCGAGGTTGCAGCGTCCCAAAGTGGAAGTGGGGTGGGGGGGTGCGGGAACCGAGTAGCACCACGGAGCCTGGGAAACCCACACGCTGCGCGTTCCATCCCCAGGGTCTGGCGTGTGACCGACGCGCGCCGAACACCCAGGCGCGCGCCCGCGCATGCGCAAAAACCTTACACACACCCGCTCCACTGAGCCGGTCTCCAGGTACGCTCGTGCTTCCGGCGGTCTTGCCAGCATCTGCGGGATCAACTGGGTCTACGCATGCGCCTCCCAGCTGCATTGCTAAATCCGGAGAGGAGGGCTAAGGCTTCAGGTGATCCCGCCCCTCCCTTGCAGCCCGGGACCAATCACGCAACGGTGGGCGGGATTTCTTAAGATGGCGGCCCTCCCATGAGCCGCGCGAGCAGTGTATCGATTGGTTGGCGCCGCGGGCGCAGGTGCGCGCTTCCTATTGGTGTGGGCGGAGCGCGAGAGTCTGCGGTTGCTTCGGTAGCTGCAGGTGAGCGCGCGCACGCGCCGCGGCTCTGGCCTGATTCGGGTGCGCGCGCGCGGCCTCGCGGGGGAGGTGGCTGAGAGCGAGGCTGCGGCGCCAGTGGACTCCGCTCCGCCCCCCCCTCCTCCTACACTACTGTCGCTGCCGCCGCGGAGGCCCGGAGGGAGGGAGCCGCGTCCCCGCCCGCCGCGCCGCCAGTCCGACCCTCGGTCCCGCCGCGTGAGCAACCAGCCGAGTGGAGCTCAGCGCAGCCGCTCGAGCTGCGGCCTCCCCCTCTGCAGGTGTCTGTGAGGAGGCGCCGGGGCCGCAGCCGCGATCCGCGCCCGCTGGCCGAGCACTAGCTCCTCGCGCTCCTAAGGGACTGCCCGGCCCGTGGAGGCCGCCGCGGGGCCCGGCGCTCAGCATGAACCGCAGCCACCGGCACGGGGCGGGGAGCGGCTGCCTGGGCACCATGGAGGTGAAGAGCAAGGTGCGCGGGGCCCGGGTTGGGCGGAGCGGGAGGCCTGGGGAGCCGGGGCCTGGGAGAGGCCGGGCGGACACGGAGGGCTGGGGAGGCGACCTTGTCCCGGGGAGGCGCCGGGCTGAGCTACTCCGGGGTCTGGTACGTGGGGGGGATGGGGTTGGAGGCAGGAGACCGTGAGCAATAAACTTGCTGAGAAGCGAGTGACGGGGGTGATGCCCTTGTGTCTGTTCCTGGCCCAGGTAAGAAGACCTAGTGGACCACTCAGACTCGTTTCTTAAATCTCATTCCTGTTTTCAAGGATGGGAAAAAGGGCCAGGGTACTATCCGAGGATGTGAAGCATTGAATGCAAGGTGGTACAGAAGGCTTAGGAGTTCTACCTGCTGGGCTATGAGTAAAAAGCCCCTGGAACACCCAGTTGTTAGCCCTCTTTGGTTCAAGGGTGCATGGAATGGGGAAGGGGTGAGCGCGTGAACTCAGCAGCCCTTTGAAAGTTAAATTTGCTTCCTGCTAGGACTTTTTCTAGCACTAACTTTGGTATGCATTTAATCTATAAAAGAGCACTATCATCTTACTTTGGAGTAGCACTTTACAGTTTGAGTCTGGATGTTCTTCTCATTCCATCGTGCTACCTATTCACATCAAGTGCTTTCACCCTTGAGCAACGGTATGCCAGTCTGCTGATAATTACTTCGGTATTCACTGAATTCCTAAATCGCAAGGCTCGGTAAGCAGAGTAGTCTGTAGGGATTAGTTAGGGAATGCTTTCCAAAGGGGGTTTTGAGCTGGAATTTGAAGGTGATCAGCAGCCCTGGGAAACATTTTCAGTAAGTACGTTTCATAAGTTGAAGAACCCAGAGGAGTTTAGATAATCTTGCTCAATTCTCTCAGAAGTCAGATGAGAAGACTGAGGCTCTGAAAGGTTATGGCATCCCCAAGCTCTGCTTTTATGCCTTGACGAAAGCATTTTTTTTAAAAGATAATTTTTAGGCATTGCAGAATACAAGACAGGACACTGGCTGGGCCATGAGAACATTTAAAATAGAACCGAAAAGGCCGAAACACAGTAAAAGAGAAAAGCAAAAAGCATATCAACTTCAAAAACAGTGAGGCATCATTGTTTGTAAACTACTAAGGAGGAGGACGAAAAATCAAGGAGTGATTTTGAGTGAAGTAAGGTAGAGTAAGGAAACCTTCCTGAACCCTGTGGCTAGAATGGTTTTATTGTCTAGGATTGATAAGCAAAGTTCTGTAAGTTTCTGTAATTGAGAGTTATATCGAGAAACAACATAAACATTTCTAATATTTTAAAATGTTAATTTGGCCCTTAGGAACTCTTATAGGTACTAGTTTCAGAAACATTTGTAGCAATGTAAGGAATATGTGCTTCCCTGTGTCCTCTGTGGGACACAGTATAGCAAATTGAAGTGACTCGCTTGAACCAAAAGGTTAAGATGGCTCAAAATATAGAGCGCTTTTCCTCTAGTTATACAGTGGTGGTGGTGGTTCCCTGCCTTGTGGTCAAACCTTCTTGTGGCATTTCTGTTATAAATCTAGTTTGGATTTGTGGGTGTTGAGGTTAAGGAGAGAAAAACACTCGTGCTATTGCATAATCTTAAAATTCAGTTTATGGTCCTGATCTTTGTAGCAAGTCTTTTTTTCCATGGGAGGGGGGAAGAGTAGGAATTCTAGGTGCACTGATAAAAACAAATAGTAATTTAACTTCTAGTACTAGGCAAAACTTGAGTGCTTGGGGACTGGAATTTCAGGCTTCTTCCCTTTCTCTTTTGTTAACTGATTTGTGAATCTTTCACATACTTACGTCTAAACTACACATTATGTATTTGACCTGTCATACTGCACTTTTAGTGACCCATATCTCTTAAATGGAATGAAGGAATCCTGAAAACACGGACTGAATGCAGTCAGTCCCACCATTCTAGTTGTTGATAGAGTATAAGGTCTATTTCTAGTGTATCTGCCGCACATTATGTTTTAGATATTTGTCGTCGATACATTTGTTTTTAATGGCTTGAAGAAAACATTTGTCATCTTAACCATTTAAAAACTATTTGGACAGATTTTTGAAACAGTTTACACTGTTCTTTTACCCTACTTTAGTGATATTGCAGCTTTTTACAAAACTCACCACTAAGAAGTTGTAACCCAAACTAGGTACTATGCACCACCTCGTTTTAGGATCTCTTTCTTCTGCATAGGAAACAGTAGTATCAACTTTATTACCTTTGCTCATGGAAGAGAAAAATGCTACAGATAATAAAATAATGGATAATGTAAATATAACTATAAATTTGTGATACCAGCTACCATGTGACTATTCTAGGTAGCTGATTGATCTCCCTAGAGTTCTTTAGGGAAAGTGCTTAATCAATAATCATTGATGTCTTTTAATAACCTTGGAAGAAGTTTTTGAGGCATAAAATTTCCTAATTATTATTCAAAGACAAATAGAATATTAAATTTGCATTTGTAGAATGTATTCAACGGATGCTGGGGAAAGGGAGTCCATACGTGTTCTGAATGGCTAGGGCAAACTAGACTAGGCTAAAGAAAAGTTGTAAATAGTTCATAATGAATAAATAATTGTTGATGAGTTCTTAATTTTATTTCCGTCTTAGTATTTTTCTTCATGTAGTTTCTTCTGAATTCCATTGTTTTGTTGCAAGAGGCCTACTAATTTCACTTTGGTTTTTTTTTTCCTCTGCCAGCATTGGACAGAGGGCACAGCTACTGTGAAGCCATAAAATTTTCTATTGTTTTTATCCTAATAATTAAGAAGCAAGAGAAAAAGTATTGAGCAAAGAATTGTCATTCAAAAGCTTTAGCAAAAACATGGAAGCCCTAAAATGTTATCTTGTTAGATATTGTTCCCATTCATCTGTGGGGAAAGGGATAAACCCTGTGGATAAACCAGAAAGCCCTGGCAACTCTGTTTTGATACAAGAGGAAGGAAAATGGAGGAGAAACTGTGACTTTTGATAACATCACAAGACTGTCTCTGATACGAAGGGCGTTCCCTGAGTTTTATTTACTTTGAAACATGAAGGTGTGACTAAACTTTTTGAGGGCTTTAGGTATGAGTCACCTTATTTTCTTGGCAAATGTCAGTGTTTATGTTTCAGGAATGTTTTGGAAACTATTTTAATTATTTTTTAGCGGTAAGAGGTGGTTTTAGTGAGTTTCTGATTTTAATGTAACGTAAAACCAGTGAGGAATATGAGTACAAGCCAGGCAGATGAGCTTTTTAGGTAAAGCAAAAACAGTGAATCCAGATGTCCAGTAGAGCCTTTGGGAAAATGAATTAACGCATTAATAAACCGCTCAAATTATTACCATGGGAGCTTTTTATGCGTGATTCTTAAGACTGACCCAGTAGTTACAGTCGTACATTAACATTTCTTTAAATTGTATTTTTTTTACATTAATTAGTATTTCTTACTAATAATAGATATGTAGGGTGGCGCTTGTGGTTCAGTGGGTAGGGTGCCGGCCCCATGTACCGAGGGTGGCGGGTGGCGGGTGGCGGGTTCAAACCGGGCCTCAGCCAAACTGCTGCAAAAAATAGCTGGACGTTGTGGCAGATGCCTGTGGTCCCAGCTACTTGGGAGGCTGAGGCGAGAGACTTGCCTAAGCCCAAGAGTTGGAGATAGCTGTGAACCAGGACGCCATGGCACTCTACCGAGGTTGATAAAGTGAGACTCTGTCTCTTTAAAAAAAAAAAAAAAAAGAAGAAGAATAGATAGATATAGACAAGAGGCTGAAGCAAGAGGATCACTTGAGCCCAAAATCTTGAAGTTGCTTTGAGCTACAGTGATGCCACAGCCCTTTACCCAGGGCAACAGAGTGAGACTCTATCTCAAAAAAAAAAAAAAAAAAAATAGATATTTAGGGAAAATATGAGTTCAGTGGTTAAACACATTTAGTGAACGTTTGTTTAAACATTAAGAAAATCAACTGTAATACTTAACTGAGCCTTTAATGAATGTGAGAGTGTCCATAGTGACTCCTACGAGGGTGTTTATATCTTGGAGCTTTTCTCAAACTTTGTGACTGAGACACTTTTTGAAAATGGCTGACAATCCCTTCTTAGCTTTCCACATTTGAGGAAATGCCACACTCATCCCACAGTAAGTTATAAATCCTATTGATCACGGACTAGGTGAAGCCAGTCCTTAGTGTTGAATACGAGCCACTTGAATGATTTGACATTGGGAACAGAGCTGTAGGGAAGCTGACAGGAGGATCAGAACCGTGAAGGTAAATATTAGACATGATGGCAATTGTCTTCCTCCCTATTTGTGTGATCCCTTAATACCTCCGTCAGGTAATTATTCTCCTTTTTACCCCCTAATTAGTGAGCTCCTACAATAGGCCTGAGACTTTAGTCTCTAGGGCCTAGCACTGCCAAGCACATAAACACTTCTTATGTTAATTGCATAGTGGTAGGACATGTATTTGATATGTTCCTAAACCATCTTTTTTCTGTATTAACAGTGAGAAGATGCTTGTTATCGCTAGACTGGTCTCTTTTATGATGCCTCCATTTGTGTTATACCTTAATGCCAAGAAGCTGAGAGTTCTTGTATATTTTTACTATTGATTCTTGCCTCATCTCTCGACATGCTAGTTTCTCCTAGGAGGACACTTAGATGGTTTTTGCTGATGGTCAAAATAAAGACTTGAGCACATTTTAGTTACTCCATCACTTGAGTGAGAAGAGTGTTGCTCTCAGGGTTGGTGCTCCAGACCGCGTTTTGAGCTGAGTCATGATGCAGCATAGTCCCCAGTGAGGCCCGGGGACTCCAGGGAATGAGTTAATTCCCTTCAGAGACACAGCAGTGAGGAGGCACCTCTTGCCTTTCTTTTGCTTTTTTAGCCCTTGATAATGAGGCTTCTGATAATGCACTATCTTCTTTATTTTGAGAAATACTTAGGTATACTTGTTAATATTTCTATGGCATTTCGAAATCGGGTCCTTCTCTGTTATTTTTGTTTGCTAAAAAAACTTAATGTGTTTGTTGTATTTATAGTTTGGAGCTGAATTTCGTCGATTTTCACTGGAGAGATCAAAACCTGGGAAATTTGAGGAATTTTATGGATTACTACAACATGTTCATAAGATACCCAACGTTGATGTTTTAGTAGGCTACGCAGACATCCATGGAGACTTACTGCCTATAAATAATGATGATAATTACCACAAAGCTGTATCAACAGCCAACCCATTGCTTAGGATTTTTATACAAAAGAAGGGTAAGTACCACTATTCAGAAAAATTACTTCAAAAATAGAAGTAGTACATTTTCCCCATTGATCCAGAATTTGCCACAAACTTAATGAATAAATAATTTTTTTTTTTTTTTTTTGAGACAAGAGTCTCACTTTGTTGCCCTTGGTAGAGTGCTGTGGCATCATAGCTCACAGCTCAAACTCTTGGGCTCAAGCAATTCTCTTGCCTCAGCCTCCTGAGGAGTATGTAGCTGGGACTACAGGTGCCACCACAATGCCCGGCTATTTTTTAGAGAAGGGATCTGGTCTCACTCTTGCTCAGGCTGGTCTCAAACCTGTGAGCTCAGGCAATCCCCTCCTCAGCTTCCCAGAGTGCTAGGATCACAGGCTTCAGTCACCTTGGCTGGCCAAATAAACATTTTGTGTGAATCTTCTTAATTAATTAATTAATTAATTTTGAAACAGAGTTTTACTTTGTTGCCCTTGGTAGAGTGCCATGGTGTCATAGGTCTCAGTAACCTCAAACTCCTGGGCTTAAACAATTCTCTTGCCTCAGCCTCCCGAGTATCTGGAATTATAGGCACCCACTACAACACCCAGCTATTTTTAGAGACAGGGTCTCTCTCTGGCTCAGTCTGGTATTGAACCCATGAGCTCAGGCAATCCACCTGCCTCAGCCTGCCAAGTACTAGGATTACAGGTGTGAGCCACCGTGCCCAACCCTTATTGGTGTAATTTATATCTTTATACTTGACTAAGTGTACTTTAGAAAATTTGTCATTTCAGTTACTTTAATTTTTAACCTCTTAGGGTCTTTTTAGTAGAAATTAGGAATTTGCTGAATCTTTACTATATTGAATGGATTATTGTCTATTCAGAAAGATGTGAAAAGAGTATTTCAATGTTAGAAACATTCTGGTTTTTTCAGGGGAAACAAATTTCAACTGCTGTATTTACCAATTAATAGATTCGGGAAGCAAAGTCACTTAATCTTCCTGAATCTTGATGTCTTTACCTATAGAATGAATATGATATCGAGGTTAAATGAGCTGAGTGCAGTGCCCCCAGCTTACAGCAGGCACCTGGTTTTCTTTCTTTTCCCTGTAGGGTATTTTTTACTAATACAGTATAAAATTAGTTAACTATCTAACAAAATGAGGTAGCAAGTGTTCTGGAGATTTGTAAACATTGATATTAGTCTTGCAAAAAAATCAAAATGACTATTTGGTGAGCCTTTTCAAATGTATTTTGTGTCTTAAAACTTAAAAAAAAGGGTTGACCCCTGTGGCTCAAGTGGCTAAGTCGCCAGCCACATACACCTAAGGTGGCAGGTTTGAATCCAGCCTGGGCCTGCCAAACAACAATGATGGCTACAACCAAAAAATAGCCAGGTGTTGTGGCAGGCACCTGTGGTCCCAGCTACTTGAGAGGCTGAGGCAGGAGACTCGCTTGAGCCCAGGAGTTGGAGGTTGCTGTGAACTGTGATGCCACAGCACTCTACCCAGGGGGATAGCTTGAGGCTCTGTGTCAAAATAAAAAAAAAAAAACCATAGCTTTCTGTATGAGTGTGTGTCTGTCTGTCTCTCTCTCTCTCTCCAGGTGGGCAGGGTAGGCATCATTATGGTATGTGCCATGTAGTCCTTTCTCTTTGGTAAATGAAAAGGTTTGGTAAGACAGCATGAGACAGCACTGAACCTAGTATTGGGATAATTAAAGCCTTACAGTGTGTGTAAAGCAACCCAGAAAGGAGTTTGAAAGAATGGGTAGGGATTACCCTTGAAGGTGAAACTTTATTTCTAATCGGTTGATAAGCACTGGGCCACACCCAGGGCTTTGAAATTCCACCAATAGTGTATCTTTGCTTTTGTGGATTTGAAGAAACTAAAGTCCTCCAACAAAATAAACCTCCAAGGATCATTTCTGTCTATATTGTCTTTTTGCAAAATACTTTCACACACAAGAATTAATTTCTCCAAAGACCTCAAAGACAGATATATTTAACAGAGGTGTGATGTAATTAGAGTGTGACTTCAGGAAGGTTGAGTTGGCTGTTCAGGATGAATTGCAGCGAGCAGCAGTCCTACCTTAGAGGCCAGGAGCAGCAGTGGAGAAGTAAGAAGGCTGCCCTGGAAGCCTCCCCAGTAGTAGGGACAGGGAAGGAGGCAGCAGCGGGGAGATACAGGGTGGGGTGGGGGACGGGAGTCCAGAATCTTGTACTCACAGCAGCTGGTACACAGTGAAGCAGAGCAGAGCATAGCTTTATGGGCATGAGTCTGATGGTGGCTGGGACAGTGTCATGAACAAGCAGAGTTTGAAGGAAAGATGGATTTGGGGAAGAAAATTAGGAATTTTGCCTTAGACTAAATCTTATCTGTCTGGTGAATTGAACATGTCATGTAGGAGATTGGAAATGGTAAGCTGGAATTCAGGATAGAAATCTAGAGACTAGTTAGATTTCAAAGTCTTCCAAAAGTGGTAGTTAAAATTTGAAAGTAGACATAGGGCCAGCTGAGATGAAGATGAAGGGATAGAACCTTGGAAAGCTATTTTTATTTTTATTTATTTATTTTTTTTTTTGAGACGGAGCCTCAAGCTGTCCCCCTGTGTAGAGTGCCATGGCATCACGCTCACAGCAACCTCCAACTCCTGGGCTCAAGCAAGTCTCCTGCCTCAGCCTCCCAAGTAGCTGGGACCACAGGCAC